CTTTTTCTTGTTCTTATGGGAAATGGTTTTAGTTTTTGCCCATTGAGTATGATGTTGGCTTTAGGTTTGTCATATATGGTCTTTATTATGCTGAGGTCTGATCCTTTTTTTCCCACTTTGCTGAGAGTTTTTATCAAAAATGGTTACTTGATTTTGTTGAATGCACTGCATGATGCTGATACTGTTACATTTCATGCTGTCCCACAGTTCTCTTAAACTGTCCTCCTGTGCTTTAATTATTTTTTCTTTTTGGTTCTTTTCTTGAGTGATTTTTTTTTTCTACCATGTATTCTAATTCGTCAGATCTTCAGCTTCTTCTAATCTGTTTTATCCTATTCATATATTTTTTATTTCTGCTATGTCATTCTTCATTTCTGACTCGTTTTTTGTAGTTTTTATGCCTTTTTTCATGCTGTGTTGAGCACCCTTTTATAATCATTACTCAGAACTTTATATCTGATAAATTGCTAATCTCCAATTCATTTAGTTAATTTTCTAGAGAATTATCTAGTTCCTTCATTTGGGGCTTATTTCTTTGTCTCCAAATTTTAGCTGCCTGTTTGGGTTTGTTTCTACAAATTAATTAGATCTGCATTCAACCCCCACTCTTGCTAGGGTGACTTTATGTAGGAGGTGATCTGTGGGACCCAAAAGCAGTCTCCCTGATCACCAGATCTGGATGCTGTAATAATGTCCTTTGTGCACATTGTGTTGGCCTTGCGTGTTGTAATTGAATCTTTTTTTTTTTTTTTAATCAATCTTCATTGTTCATATTATTACAAAGGTTCCTCATTTCTTCCCCCCTCCACCAGGTTCCCACCCCACCCTCCGCCCCTTCCCCATCCCCCATTGTCCTCATCCATAGGTGCACAGTTTATGTTCAGTCTCTTCTTTCCTCCCTTTCCCTGATAGTAAATCCCTTTTCAGATAGTAATTCAGTTACTTAGCATTTTCTCATGTCAATAATACCTCCACATGCCCAATGATACACTTCACACAAAAGACATTTCCAAATAGGTCAACTAGCCTCATCCAGGCCCCACCCAAGGCACTCACAGATCAACACCCCAGCCCTATACTAACTCAACACATCCAGATCTAAGCCTTCATCACTTGATTCAGAAGACCCTCAAGTTCCTGCAAAAGTTTCCAGCCATGTCTGAGAGGCAGCCGTGGGGCAGGGGCAGGCGAGGAGTGAGCTGTTCCGGGCCTGGCTGCTCAGGGCCTGGCCTCTGTTGCTCTGGTTCGTTCCACAACAAGCTGCTCCGGGTCTGGTCACTGCCGCTCCCGGCCTAGTTGCTGTGGACTTGGCTGCTGCTGCTGCTCAGGGCCTGGCCACTCCCAGCCTGGCAGCCATTGCTCCGGGCCTGGCCGCTCCCGACCCGGCTGCTCCGGGCCTGGCCGCTCCCTACCCGGCTGCTCCCCCGGGCCTGGCCGCTCCCAACCCGGCTGCTACCCCGGGCCTGGCCGCTCCCAGCCTGGCAGCCGCTGCTCCGGGCCTGGCCGCACCCGACCCGGCTGCCCCAGGCCCGGCCGCTCCGAGCCTGGCCACTCCCGGCCTGGATGCTCTGGGCTTGGCTACTGCTGTTCTGGGTCTGGCTGCTCTGGGCCCGGCTTCTCCGGGCCCGGCCACTCCAGGTCTGGGTGTTCCTGGACTGGCCACCCTGGGCTTGGCCGCCTCCGCCTCATGCCTGGCTGCCACTGCCCCAGGTCTGGCTGCTCCAGTGCTGGCTGTTGATGCTCTGGTTCTGGCTGCTGCTGCTCTGGGGCCTGGCCGTTGCTGCTCCGGGCCTGGCTGCCACTGCCTTGTTCCTGGCCACTCTAGGCCTGGCCGCCACTGTTACAACATTCTGTCCTTTTTTTTCTTTTTTTTTTTTTTAAACGCATTTATGTTGCTATTTTGGCTGGTGAGTTGAGTTCTGACTTAGTCTTTGATTTTTTTAAGAACTTCTTTGTATTCTTTCTTAAGTAATTTTACTATTTTTTGCTCTCACTTGGTTTCTTCACATTGAGAACTTCTTTGGTTTCTTCCTCCTTGTCCTGGGAGCTCAGCAGGTTGGCCTGTGGCACCCCTTTGTTCTCTGCGGGCTCCTGCGCTGCTTTAGCCTGTTGCCGGGGACGGCGCCGCCCAGGAAGCAGCCCCCGGCCTTGGCTCCATTGCCTGCGCTCAGCGGTGGAAGGCTCAGGGGCACCAACCCTTGGGGGCCCCGTCGCCCGGCTCCTTGCTGGTTCCCGGTTGGCCGGGGTCCGGCAGGGGCTCCTGCTCCCCGCCGCGTTCCCCCAGCTCGGAGCTTTTTTTCTCCTTCCCGCTAGGGAGTCCAGCCTCAGAGTCAACATACTGTCCTCTGCGCGCAGTGTGCACGAGTCCGGGGGCCCGGCCTTTCGCCGCTCTCCCCGGACTCCACCTCACAGCCCCGTCTCCCTCTGCCTGAGTCTGGATCCCCAGGGTTTGGCCCAGAACTGGGGTTCGGAGCAGTCCGGACTGAGGCCCAGCACCGCCGGAAGTCTTGTTTCTTCCGGCTAGGGTAACCCAGCATCAGAGTCAACATTCAGTCCTTTGCGCGCGCATTGCGCGCGACTCCGGGGGCCCTGCTTTTCGCCGCTCTTCTGGGATTCCGCCTCACAACCCCGTCTCCCCGTGCCGGAGCCTGGGTCCCCAGGGTCTGGCCCATAACGGTCTCAGCGCTGCCGGTTCGGCGGTTCAGCCCAGGCTGGGGGTTTTATTTCCTTCCTGCTAGGGAAGGAAAGGCAGCACCCCGCCCTCTCCTCCTCTCTGGCTGCGACCTCTCCTCACGTGCGGGCGGGTGGGCGCACAGCATGTCTCCGTACCTTAGGCTTTTTTTTTCAGCTCCTGATTTTCCTTCTGGTTTTCTCTTTCCTTCTTGTTGTAGAATTTTCAGTCAGTCGACTACCTGTAGTTCTGGGCAATGTCCACTCTACATCTTAGTTGTATTCCATTGAAATTGTTGTGCGCTGCCGCGGCTAGATTTCTACCCGAGCAGCCATCTTGGATCTCCTCCTCTGTAATTGAATCTTGATTGCTATTGACTTGTGTGTGTGTGGGCTTGATGGTCAGGCTGGCTCATCCCCCAACACAGTGTGCAGGCTGCTGTGCAGGTGTTGATCACAAGAATCTGCATTCACCTCAATAGGGCTTGGAGTCTGCCAATATCTCCCTGTGGATATAGTGCTTGTGAAGCCTATTTAATCCTGTTCTGGTGTTGTTTGAAACTGTCCATTGGGTTTTTTATTGGTTTGGTGGCCTCTCTGGAGTCTCTTTCTTTCAGGCCAATGCCAGATGCGGTTTGTGACTGGCCCTGAGTACTCTGGAGCTATCAGTGATCAATGGCTTGTGGCTCCCTCTGCTTTGGCTGGATGTTTGTGCAAAGTACCAAGCTGCACAACTTGATCTGTTCTCTGTAGCCTCAAGCCCAGAAGCAGATCTGGCAAAGAAAGACTCAAAGCACCGAGAGAGCTGCCTCTTTCTGCAGGCTGATTGTTAGTCTAGGTCACTTAGTGAGCCTCAGGCTGCAGAGTTCAGCAGAACCATAAACTCCACATGGTAGGCAAAGGGTTTCTAATAGTTGGGACAATTTCTCTCCCCACCAATCCCCCAAAGCTGCATTGTTGGGAAAAGCTTTTCTAAGAATGATGCTTTCTGCAGCATGAGGGAATGCCTCAGCACAAGGGTTCCAGGTGGCTCTCTTCTCAGCTCTCTCTCCAGTGTCACCAATCCCACACTCTTCTCACGTAACTCTAGCCCACTCTCCCTCCCTCTGCCAGAATGACTGACAACCACATTCAGTGCCTTTAAGGAGGTGCCTACATTTACCTTCTCCCCCTGCAGGACACCACCACCAGTGCTTTTCACAGCCAGATGTTATGTGGCCACCTTTCTCAGTTCTGTAATTGAGGGTTGGGGAGGCTAGCTGGGTGTTCAAACCTCACGAGGCTTCTCATGGGGAGCCCCCCACTGCTGAAATATCCCTCCCAAATTTCAGCTGCAGCCTCTTTGGGTTTGTTTCTGTGCCCTCTTGTGCTTCAGCATTTCCTATCACTCTTGTTATGGCCTCCTCTTTAAGTCCTTGGTTATAAGTGTTCTCTCCAACTAGTCTTCAGTTGGTTATTCAGTTTTATTTTTTTCTATATTTTAGTTGACATTTCAGTTTTGTCCTTAGGGAATATCACTTAATCCACCACTGTCTTGCAATCCTACTTTAATTTCTTTAAAATGCACTTCCCTGTGTTGGGGAGCTCTGGGTTGTTACAGGAGTCTGGATCCAGAGGCTTGCTCATTAAGGAGCTAGCCCCACAGGGCTCCAGCATTAAGGAGCTAGCCCCACAGGGCTCCTGTACCCAAGGTGGAGGGGCTCAGCAACACCTTTTTCTTACATACTTAAGAGTTTTTACTATTAAAACTAATGAAACAAGCTTCAGCGTTCTTCACTTTCATAGGTTCCTGTGATCTCTAGAAGTAGTTGTGAATTAAAGTGTTCTTGGTGGACAAGAGAAGTCAGGTTACAATCAGTATTTCTGATAAATTACCAAGAGAACGCAAAAAAAAAAAAACCCTCAAAACGTGATCAATTTTCTAACATTTCTCTCATCTCTTATTTCACACACTGATTTTGGAGAGGGGATCTGAGGAAAGGTGGCTGAGAAATTATAGTTTAAGTCAAGATGTCAGTCAGAAGATTCTGAAAGGGGCCTAAAATTGGCAGTAGTTGGTAAGTCACTAAATATTAATACAAACTGGATAAAAATAGAATATTTAGAATGTAAGAAATATGGGGAAAACATCTACCAAAATAAAACTATAGAAACTAATATAGAAAATATTGTTTTGATTACTACAGTTATATTTATTGATAATCTATGTGCATTTTAATATTTTCAAGTTAGGGCAGTTTTATAGCCTTAGCATTGAAATTTTATTTATAAATGCAGAAAATACTCTTGGCTGAAACTCCCTAATAAACTATTTTTATTCTTGCTTTCAGGCGCCTGATCACAGATTCAAAGGTTAAATTAAAGTATCAACATTTAATAACAAATAGCTTTGTTGAGGTAAGTGAGTTATCTTAATAGTTTCTCTTTTAATTAGAGTAATTCTTTTTTATAATAGAAATTAATTTTGTTTAAAATGTTTATTGTTGAGAGTATTATAGATGTCTCTTCTTTTTTTCCTCTATTGTCCCCCTCTACCCAATTTCGCCTTCACCATGCTATTGTCTGTGTCCATGGGTTATGCATATAGGTTGTTTTTCTTTTTTAAATTTAAATTCTTTATTGTTTAAGTATTACATTAGTCTCCTTTTCCCCTCATTGACCTCTCCTGGGCCACTCCTCCTCCCCCTCCTCCTCCCCCCCCCCCACGCACACACTCCAGCACATACCCTCACCCCCTAATTGTCTATGTCTATCGGTTATGCTCATATGCATGCATACAAATTCTTTGGTTAATCTCTTACCCCTTACCCCTCGCCTTTCCTCATTGGTTAGACAGTCTGTTCAACGTTTTTGTCTATTTTTTTCATCAGTTTATGTTGTTCATTGTATTCCACATTCAGTGCCTTTAAGGAGGTGCCTACATTTACCTTCTCCCCCTGCAGGACAACACCACCAGTGCTTTTCACAGCCAGATGTTATGTGGCCACCTTTCTCAGTTCTGTAATTGAGGGTTGTGAGATCATGTGATATTTAACTCAGGATTGTGACAAATCAATAAGTAGATATCTCTTTATAGATCTTCAACTTTGATAATAAAATTATTTTTTTTAGTATTCTTCCTTTATAGCTCTTGATCCCTAGCAGAGAATTATAACGGATAAAGGTCCTGTATAATCATGTTTGGTACTCTAACTCTGCTTTGTTTTAGCTTCCATTACCAATAAGCTTTATTAGTAATGAATGCTGTGATTTTATCAAATATCTTTTTATTAGTACAGAGGTCTGCAAACTATGGTGTGGAAACCCTCGTGATTAGGGCCCACTCAGGGTCCGGTTTCTGGAGGAGGCCACACAGTAAAATGAAGAGAGAGACTAGAAAAGAGTTAATTTAGGACAAATGGGGGGCCAGGTGGGAGTCAACCTCTAGTGGGAAGACTCTGTAGGCTCTGGCCTTGCTATCCCTTTTATTGAGGCTGCTATGGGATACACCCATTACCCTTAAGCAGCTTCGGAAACACCCAGTACTCTTAAGCAGTTTTGGGAAACACCCATAGCCCTTAGGCAGGTAATAAGTAGATTATCATATCAGTAAGGATTTACATGATTACAAGATAGGGAAGTTGCCTTTCAGTTACTATTGTCTCAATTAGATAGGGTGTGGTTGGTTCTGACCTTTCAGAGCTTCAAGGTTGACCAGCCTCTTTCTATTAGTGAGACAAAGATTGGTTTCCGGCATCTCCCCCATTTCTTTCTTTTAAAAAATCTTGCATCTGCAGACCAGAAATAAACATAGAAGAACAATAAAATGTTTGAGTCCAAATTTCAAAGTCTAAGAGTTCTAAGTCCAAGTTTCAATGTCCAAAAGTTCTGAGTCCAAAAGTTCTTCATATGTGCATGTCTGCATTGATATCTGGATGGTGGTGATGCAGGTCCAACCATCTCTATTTGGTCCTGAGCAATCTGTAGCGTCGCATAGCTGCTGACTGCTGGCATGGCAAGCCATCATCAGCATCAGCGTCTTCAATGTCTGGACTTTCTCCTCTTTTCTTCAGTTTAGATGGAGTATTCCTGCTAATTCCTCTCTGTTGCAGGAATCCACATGGTCTTGGAGTTGTTTTTCTGAAGACATGCAAACATATCTTGACCAAAATTAATAAAGGAATCTTTTCTATAAATTTTACTTGTGATTCTTTTAACTTTTTTCCCCAAACAATTTTTCTTTGACTTATTTGATACCATGTGTTTTTTTCATGGCTGTCTTGCTGAAAGCATTACAAATGAAAATTGGTTTTCAAAAGAAAAAATAATTTTTTTTTTTTAGATGTAATTTACTTACAGGACATTTTTTTCTTTGCATAGTATTTTTCCACTATCCCCCTTTTTCTTATTTAATTAGGAGGCTTTTGGAATATTTTTTTTTATAATGCAGTTTTGATAGCTTTTAAATTTTAAGCTTTTTCACAAAAACTATGGCTGTTTTAGGGTTCCTTGCATGTTAAGCGATTTTACCATGAAATGAACTACCAATAGAAATTTTGGTTAATACTTTAGGAACAGCCTCTTGTACAATTAAATTTTCTTGAATATTAACTTATCTGAAAACTTGACTATTTTACTGTCAAATTTAATACTTTAACAACTGTAATGCCCAAGTGTCATAAACCCCAAAGACTACCAGAGAGCCAAATCCAATGCAATTGCAGAAAGCCTGTATTTATTTTGGACTAGTCCGAGCTCAGTCCCACTTACACCAGTGAGGGCATGGTGAGAAAGAGAAAGAACTTAACATATCAATAGGTTTTATAGGGAGGGTGGTGCCACTACCTTGGCTGACCTGATTGGTTGGGTTAGCCTAGAGTCCAGTTACCTGGAGCTGGACCTGCCCCACCCTGCCGTCTCACCCCGCCATGCCCCCTCATCCTGCCCTGCCCTCTCATTCCCGCCTTGTCTTGAGACTTAACGGGCCCAATCATGGGACCTTTTGCACTTCTGAAGGATGCATAAAGTTCCTCCTTCCTGGTGCCCTGATCTGACATTTTGGGGGAGTCCACGAGATGTGTCCAGTGAAGACACAAGACTACACAGCGGGGTCGGGAGTGTCCAGAGCAGAAGTGAGTCTTTCCCCCCGAACCAGTGAATGAGGTATGGGGGACTCCTGCAGCCGGAGCGGCCACTAACAAAATTTCCAGTATCAGGCAGGTTGAGTACGCCGTAACCTGAGCTTGAAGGGGTTGTCTCGGTCTCGGTCGATGCTCCATCGGTTGGCGAAGTCTTCCCAGATAGAGGAGTCAGCTGGCCGAACATGGGTGTAGTGGACCCAGGTCGCAATGCTGTCCACTTTGAGGGCGGTGGGCATCGTCAGCACCACAATGTATGGTCCTTTCCAACGTGGTTCAAGCGTCTCCCGGCTGTGCCTTTTGACAAAGACCCAGTCTCCCGGCCGGTACTGGTGGGGCGTCGGGATCGGGCTAGCCTCATAGATGGCCTGTAGGCATGGCCAAATGTCCTCATGCGCCCTCTGGAGCCTTCTTAAAGAAAAAGATATTTCTTGGTTGTCAAATTCAGTTAGCAGTTCTGTCTTAAGATTGGGAATGATAGGCGGGGGCCTACCAATCATAATTTCATAGGGAGTGAAGCCTAGTGTATAGGGTGAATTCCTCACCTGGTAAAGAGCATAGGGAAGGAGAGCCACCCAGTCCCCGCCAGTCTCCATGGTTAATTTAGAAAGGGTCTGTTTTAATGTTCTATTCATTCTTTCCACCTGTCCTGAGCTCTGGGGCCTATACCCACAATGTAATTTCCAATTTGCCCCTATAGCCTTGGCTACTGCCTGTGTTACCTGTGAGATGAAAGCCGGGCCGTTGTCCGATCCTATCATAGCTGGGAAACCGTACTTGGGTAGAATGTCTTCCAGTAGCTTCTTAGCAACCATCTGGGCTGTTTCATGCTTAGTTGGGTATGCTTCTACCCATCCAGAAAAGGTGTCTACAAAAACTAGAAGATATTTATAGCCATACTTTCCCGGCCTTACCTCAGTGAAGTCAATCTCCCAGTGCACCCCTTTGTTCCTCTGAGCCGGGTTCCTTTTCCACTTGACCGAGCCCTTGTATTTGTAAGCTGGCAAGTTTTACAGGCTGATACAATTTGATCTATTCTGGTGTCCAGTTGGTGAATTTTGATCTTAGCATGCCGGACCAAATCCTTTAGTTTCCAGGACCCTAGGTGAGTTGATTGGTGTTTGTGTTTCAACATTGGGATCCCAAGCTGGTCTGGTAGCAGGAGCTTCCCATCTGGAGCATACCACCAGCCTCTGACTTCTTTGTTCGTTGGGTGGCTTTTGATTAGCTCTAATTCTTCCTGGGAGTATCCGGGCTGATCCGGCAGAACTGGGTTCCCTGGGTCTGGCAATTGCAGGGCCAGTGCAGGGACTGCAGTGAGGGCTACTTCCTTGGCCACCTGCTCAGCCTTCTGGTTGCCTGTGGCTAAGGGTTGTTGGCTTTCTGGTGTCCTGGGCAGTGGATGATAGCTTTCTTGGCTAGGAGCCATAAGGCAGCTAGCAAGTTGAGTATTTCTTGTTTATTTTTTATAGTCTTTCCTTCTGCAGTCAACAGCCCTCTCTCCTGATAGATTGTCCCATGGATGTGAGCCGTGGCAAACGTGTATCGGCTATCTGTAAAGACATTGAGTCGTTTCCCGGCCTCTAGTGTCAATGCCTTTGTCAGAGCAATGAGTTCTGCCCACTGGGCTGACGTTCCAGATGGCAGAGCCTCTGCCTATAAGGTGTCAGACTCAGTTACTACTGCCGCGCCCGCGTACCTGTGCCCGTTTCTCATGAAGCTGCTTCCATCGGTGAAGCATGTGGCCTCTGCATCTGAGAGGGGCTGGTCCGTCCGGTCCTTCCGGAGTCCATGCACCTGTTCCAAAATCTCAGCGCAGTCATGTAGCGGGGCATCTATTTAGGTCTAGTAATAATTAATGTCGTTTTCTAATACTTTTTAAAATCGAATTTATTTAAACAATACAACAAAATTTAATCAACAGTATAGTTGCCGTTGTTTTCTACTACTTGTGCCCAACGCTCAGGAAGCATTTTAATCCCTCTGTTGTAAAATTCTTGTGATTTTGATGCAAAGAATTCGGTCAATGCATTTTTGAGGCATTCTTCATTATTAAATTTTTTTCCAAGAAGAAAGTTTTGCAAAGAACGAAACAAATGGTAATCGGAAGGGGCAATATCAGGAGAATATGCAGGTTGAGGGAGAACTTCCCATTCCAACTGGCGCAGTTTTTCAGCAGTGATTCTTGCAGTATGCGGTCGTGCGTTATCGTGGTGAAGAATTACGCCCTTCCGATTAATCAGCGCGGGTTCTTTTTCTCTTAAAGCTTGGGCTAACCTT